GAGATGTCAGGATGCCTGAATTTTTACTATATATATGTACACATTAAAACCTTGGATTGTTAGGGATTTTCCTGCTTGTTATCTTTGGTCTTTCCAATCTGCCAGCTGAGTTCTCTGAAACTTACAGCACACCTCCCAGTCCAGCAGGCTGGGATGGTGTAAGTTCAAACATCTGTATTCAGTTCATGTGCTTCAATTCCTGCTATTGTTTTCAGAAGTTTCCACCACACCAAAGGTGTGCTTTGCTTTGCAAACACCATGCTCCATTCATTAACTTTCAGTTTTTATTATGTACTACTGACAATATGGACAGAAGGAGAAAAACTGCCTAAATTTCGTAAGATATAGTTTAGTCAGACTTTGGGTGCTCGAGTCTTACAGAATGATTCAAATTGCCTAGTGTCAAGCACCACCTAATCCCTGGTGGCACCTGAAGTGAATAATTTAGGATAACAGATTTCCCCTGGCGTCTGGGCAAGGTTCCTGGGAAGCTTAGAAGCACCATGGCTTAAGCAGACAGGCATGTGACTCCCACTCAAGTTTCATTGTGACTCAAAGCTGTGTGTAGGGGTGCCTGAATGCTGCCTATGTCCCTTGAGGTGCCCAAGCCATTGACTGTGTCTGAATCACACATTATAAGTTTGGAAAGGATTGAATGCAACACAAACAGCAGCAGTCATGAGAAATTTCAGTGCAGAAGAGGGAGAGAGGACCTTGCAGGTTAGAACAGTCACCAGGGAAGGATGTCTGTTTTGGATTGTCCTAAGCTTGGGAAGCTCAAAAGAAATGGGAGAACTTTACTGTTGCCTGACTGTTAAGGATATTTCGTAGAATGGTTTGTGTTGGAAGGAACCTCAAAGATCATGTAGTTCCAATCCCCTGTCATGGGCAGGGACACTGTCTACTAGACCAGGCTGATCAAAGCTCCATTCAACCTGGCCTTGAACCCTTTCAGGAACGGGGCATCCAGAACTTCTCTGGGCAACTTGTTCCAATGTCTCATCACCCTCACAGTAACGAATTTCTTCCTAATGTCTAATCTAAAGCTGCCCTCTTTCAGTTTAATACCATTACCCTTCATCCTATCACTACATGGCCTTGTAAAAAGTCCTTCTCCAGCATTCCCATAGGCCCCCTTTTACTGGGAGAGGAAAATCTTAGATTTGTTTTTTTTGCTTCCAAGTCTGTGTATTTTGGTTAAGACACTTTTGACAAAAAAAACCCCACATAAGCATCCCTTATCCCAGCATCCCAGCATCCCTGGTTCAGAGACCAGATGCCAAGGATGTCCTCATTAGCTTGTCTGTTTAAACTTTTATGTTCTTTATTGTTGTCTTTAGGCATGAATTTGGACACTTAGCAATTGCTACGCATTTCTCTAGGGCTTTTTAAGACCTGTCATCTCTCTTATTGCTTTTGTCTTAAACACCATGATGCACTGTCGTAAGTTCTCTATATTTGTCCTTTACATCTGTAGACTTTGAAGTGAGCCTGGTACATATTTTCTTCCTGTCTATTCTCTCTCCTCTTCCTATTTTTCTTTCCCTGTGCAACATGGAAAGGGTGGCAAAGTACTTGTTGAGTTGCAGACATGTGGAACAACTTGCTTTTGTATTTTTCATTAATATTGAATGCTGCTTCTTTACTGTTTTGTTGTTTTTGTAATGTGACATGATGTCACATTAGTTTGCTAGTTAGTTTTTAAACACTGGTAGATGCAATCAGACAAAATGATTTATTAAACATTCAACAAACCTTTGAGTTTCAAATTCAGTATTCTGCAAAATCTGAGGGTTTATGTTCCTATACTTGTCCAACCTTTTTTTTCCCCCTCACCAAACGTCATTATTTATTTATTGTTTACAATTGCTTCTGATGAGTTTTCATCCGAGTTTTACAGAGTAGAAGGGACCATGGAAGTAATACTTGAATTTTACTGTAGTATTTTGCTCATTGTCTGTACCTAAGTCACTTCAGTGCTAGATGCCTACTTTTCATTCTATTGTTTCCACTTGAAGCCACCCAAGGAGCAAGAGTGTAGGG